GAAGCAGGTCTGTTAGCTCACCGTGACGAATTCAGTAAGAATTGTTCACGATGGTTTCCAGGGGGACCCACGTGGAGGTCGACCTAATAGGGTATATTGCTAGCAATGGGGCTGTCAAATTCCATTGCTAACAATCCTTTGCCCCCCTATGTGCAGAGTTAGGATATAACCTACCAATTTACCAAATTTCATCATCATCATCATCATATCTGTCACGCCTGTCTCCCATTAGGGTAGGCAGAAACAATGGAACGCCAAATGCTTCGATTCAAACAAAACATTCATCAATCTTGTCATACACGCTCGTCGGTTACGGGTACTTTTAATTTGGCCCTTCTTCAGCACGTCGCCTATTTGGTCGACATACGTCCGTCTAGGGCGGCCCCTACCGACATCTCCATTCATTCTTGCTCGATAAATCTCTTTCGTAATTCTTCTTTCATCCATCCTCTCCAAATGACCAAACCAACGCAACATTCCTTTTTCGATTTTTGTCACTACATCGTCTTTCAGTCCACACTTCTCTCTAATCACACTGTTTCTTACTCTATCTTTTAAAGTAATACCACACATACTTCTCAAAGCTCTCATCTGTACAGCATTTATCTTACTTTCATGCTTCTTCTGCCATACCCACGATTCGCTTCCATACATAAACTCCTTGAATTATAGCAAATTTTTACTTGACATAATCGAGAGCAGTGCACCGTTAAATCTCAATATCTCTGTCACACTTCCCATCCCTCGTAAACAAAGAACCTAAATATAGAAACTCACTCACTTGCTCTACTTTTTCATCTCCTATCATAATCTGGCATGCCGTTAAACTTTCATTCCTCTCAAAAACCATTACCTTCGTCTTCTTCGCATTTATTTTCATACCTTTTCTTGCATACGCTTCATTCATTATAGTCACCATTTGTTGTAATTCATACTCCGACGATGCAAAAAGTACTTGGTCGTCGGCGTATAAAAGAGTCTTAAACAGAGACTCATTCATCCTGAATCCACAATTAGATCCTTTCTTTCAAATTTCATTCGAATGCATTTAAAAAAAGACATATTTTTATTCAAGTAAACTTAAAAATTAATTGTTCAAAATTAATTGTTTTCAAAAATAAACAAAAAAAAACTAAACTACTGAATTGGTTTTAATAAAATTTCTATTGCATTAATCTAAAAGTAGATATATTATTTAAGATATAAACCAATTATTATAAACCAAGTTAGAAACCAATTTGGAAAAATAATTTTCCAAATTGGTTTATAACCGACACAATTATATGGCAACAAACATAAAAAAAAAACAATCAAATTGATAACCTGCTTTTTTGAAGTCGGTTAAAAAAACAAGTGCTTATTCCATTATCCTCTATCAATACTCATTGGGATAAAAAGCGACTGGATATAGTATTGGATTATGGGATGACAAATGAGTGTACGATATGGATTGTTAATACCGTAGGACAGGTGTTTTTAGACACGACCTCCACCTAGCACACAAAAAATATTTCTCGACCCCCCACTTACATGTGTAAATTATCATTATTCTTAATAAATCTATCTATATAACTGTTTTTTTTTTTTACTGAGATATTTGACATAAGATCTACCATAAGCAAGCCAGCTTTTAAACACAAATTGCGCACCTATTTCTTAGAAAAATCACGTTCCCTTTAAGCTTCTCGTGCTGGTTACTCTGTTCGAGCCATAGATTACTATTTGCTCTTCTATTGCAGTTGTTTTATTTAATTGTCTTATAAAGTAATATATTATGTATGTATTTATTGTATATATATATTTATTTATTTCATATATTATGTCTATGTTTATATTATATGAATTTATCAAGTATTGCTTTATTTTTTCCCCTCTATACAAAAATGCACCGCCTACGTATTTCTCTGTTCGCCCAATGGTTGAATGGTAGAGAACACCGTCCGGTGTTAAGACCACCAAAAGGGCAATAGAAATTTACTGTGCATTAAAGTTTAAATAAATATATTTCATTTATAGAGGTTTCGCGACCAACGTTGAAGTACACTTCTATAGGGGATTGAAACATGAAAGTTCTGTATAATATATACTTATAGATAGATAGATACTCTTTATTGTTTCCTCCAAAAGATTACAATAGTAAACTTATTATAAATATAATACAATCTATACTTATAATAAATCTGTAGAGAGGTCAATTCTGTACATGAAATATATTTCCAAAATAACTATCAGGCGGTGATTAGTGATCGATACTGATGCCAAAAATGCAATCAGTAAAATTTTTGTCTGTCTGTCTGTATATTCGTTATAGAAACAAAAACTACTCGACGGATTTTAACGAAACTTGGTATAATTATTCTTCATACTCCTGGGCAAGTTATAGTATACTTTTCATCACGCTGCGATCAATATGAGCAGAGCGGTGAAGGGAAATGTTGGGGAAACGGGAGAAGTTACTCCATTTTTAAGCTTCCGTCGCGTGCGCAGCCTTAATGGCCACTTTTTAAAATGTAAAAATGTCCACCCGTGCGAAGCTGGGATGCGCCGCTAGTATAATAATGTAATATAAACTTAGTATAATAAAATCGACTGATGATTCATTGTTCTAAAAACCGGCACACACATACACCTCGGACCTAGCAATTAAACAAAAGAATAGGATCAACAAATGTGTTATAAATTCAGGGGGATTTGACTGACGATAGCCTGTTATGTGGATACAACGCTCTACACACTGAATATAATAGGCTTATTGCGGTATACTGGCTCCTAGAGATTAAAGGGAAGCGGTGAATTTATTAGGTTTGTAATTTTATTTTGTAGCAACAGACAACTAGGATAACGTTCTGTTATTTTTTTTACCTTTTTTTTTATGATATTTAAAATTGCAAATAAGCGGACAGCCTTTTTTTTTAATACAACTTAGAATGGCAAACAAGCCTGATGAAAAGTGGTAAACAATGGTAATGAAATCGTGGTAATGAACGAAGGCATACGTTAGATAGATAGATAGATAGATAGATAATTTATTTGCATTACTTACAGCACACAAATTATAACAGATACAGATATACATAAGAGGCGAGATAAGAGAAATAATAAAAAAAAAAATACATAAAGCTAAGTACAATTTTTCCTTTTGTGCGTGTGCCGTAACAATACAAAATGGTCACAACTCAGTTTATTTTGTGTTTTACTTTATGTTTCACTTTATAATCAGCATCATCACATCAGCTTTTAACTGTCCACTGTTGGACATAAGTCTCCTTATAGGGGATTTTGCCAGTAGTGGCCATGCTTTGTAGGCGGATTGACAACTGTAGTTAGGCTTTAGATGTTTAAAGAGGGACGCTGCTGCCCATCCCTTGCTCTCCTTTAGTTGCCTCTTACAACACCCACGAGAAAGGAAGGGGTGGCCTATTCTATGCCGGGACCACATGGAACACTTTATAATACGTTAGATTAATTAATGTAATTTATTATTTAAAATTTATGTCGGTATTCATTAATAGGGTCCCCAAAAAATATTTCTTCTCTTCAAAATTTTTTTTTATATTACTAAAAATAAAAAAAAAAATACCAACGGCACTACACAGTGTTTGCATGGCTGTGTTTCAGTTTGAAGGGTGGGATATGGCAGTGAATACATAATAATAAAGGTACAGATGAATAACACCCGAGTCCTCAGGAATGGCAAAGCAAGGTATCATGGGCGAAACAGTATACTCTGTTATGTCCAAATACTGCTCATGTCTATAAACGTTACCAATTCCTCGTCTTGCTTCCATAAAAAGAAAAGAGTAGACAGAAACTGCCTTAATGGCAAATACTTCGATTCAAACAGACCTCTCTTGCTTCCTCCAAATTCATTAATCTTTTCATACACGCTTGCTCGTTACGACTACCTTTAAATTAGCCCTTCTTCAGCACGTCTTCTATTTGGTCAATATACATCCGTCCAGGGAGCCCCCTACCGACATCTTAATTCATTCATGCTCGATAAAACTCTTTCGCAATTCTTCTTTCGTCTCTACACTCCAAATGGTTTAACTATTTTTTGTCACTACATCGTCTTTCAATCCACACTTCTCTAGAATCTAGAAATAGTGTAATTAACACTATTTCACACTCTATCTTTTAATGTAATACCCTTGAAATTCAGTATTTGGTTTAACATAAAAACTGCAGATCTGATGCATGGTTTAAATGAAGCTTATGCCCGTAATTGTTACTACCTACGAGTGTGTATAATACTAGCTGCCACAGTATCCTGGCAATCCGGCTATATTGCGATGATGCCTCGCAATACAGCGGTGTCAGACAGCGGAGCTGATGTGAATTATGCAGGATTATGTTATATGTTCAACACGAAAGATGAATGTTAATCTCTTAATGGCGACGCAATTGAGTTACTCGTGTTACGTCATGTCCTAATAATTCTGTTGACGAAACAAAACCTTGTTACGAGAGCTGGGTTTCCTCTACTCGGAAAATTTGTAATAATTTAACGTCAACACCAATTTGTAAAGTTATTTTATGAGAAAAACAGTCATGTTATGAGCAGAAATAATAGCCATGTTTTAAAGGAAGTGTAAAGTATAAAAGTGGATGTATTTAAAGAAAAGAGACGACAGTAGAAAAGGTGTATGGACTGTGTGAACGATGATATGCATAAAAGAGTTGTGAGCCCGGAAATGACAGCTGATTTGTAAAAGAAAAAGACATACTGCACCGATCCTAAATAAATAGGAAAAGGCAAGGCTATGATGATTTTGTGAGAAGAATGTATAGAGGAAGTCAGTCGAACGTTTAAGATATCTACCTCGAGAAAAAATCTTTATCATATAGAAGATTCTCTTACCTCTGTAATACTGAACTCCTGTGGTTCTTTTTCAAACTTAGAATAGCCAACTAGCTGACGGTCTACTGATGGAAAGCAGTAACAGTCGCCAATAAACAGAACAGAACAGAATTTAATGAATGTTCGTTGTTGTCCACAGGTATGGAAGTCCCCACCACTCCAGATCTCAGTCAGTGAAAGCAGCGAGGTCGCGGACTGGGGAGCGCCAACTCCTCGGCTTGCCTCAACAGAGGGCGCGAGTGGCTTCTATGCCAAATACGGGTGTCGAAGAGGAGTACTATAGACTTAGGCATTTTAGCATTACTGGTGAGTATGGGAGTCGAAGTGCTTTAGTAGTCTTTCCATTGGCAACAGCTAAAAATTTATCTTAAGGGTTAGAGGAGACAGCCCATCATCCTCTAATGTAACATCAGTAAATCTAATAACAGTAGAAAACAGATAGGACTGCATGTCTCATGCGACTTCTCATGTATTGCCACTTTTGAGAACTAAGGAGATTGTTCTGTCTACCCTTCAGACCGGATAAGGTTATATAGTATTACATATACAGAAAATCACTCAAAATTCGACTGTCATTAAAAACAATTATATGTATATTAGCAACCCGTCAGCAGGTCGTAAAACTAAAAACCAAATCTTTGTATAATATGGATAAAATCATATTACGCCGACCCCAAATGATTGGGATAAGGGTAGGAAGATTAGCAACATAGATAGATAGAAACTCGTTGTTCCCTCCGACGATGACTGAAAACGATGGCCGATCTTCTCGCTAAAAGCAATTTCATCGATATAATCTTCGACAAATAAATATAATGAAATCTTGTTCCATTTGGACAGGTAAAGGTGTAGTGAACCGCGGTGATTCACTTCGTTCTAGAAGATCACGTTCTAATACTTCTGTGGCATCCAGCGCGTCCAGTACCGAAGCCGTCACCAGAGCCTCAGCACCCTGCTCTCTAGCTTCATCAAGGTAATGAATGGATAAATCAGACATATCTTACTTCTATGGTTCTGTAAATGAAAATTAGTTTAATTACTTGCTTTTCTGAGGCAAAGTAAGTCGAGGGTTGGGCAAGCAGCAGTCCCTCCTAAAACCTCATCAAAACCTAACTGCGGTGGGGGGAAAGGGATTGTTAGCAATGGAGTTTAACAGCCCCATTGTTAGCAATATGCCCTATTAGGTCGATCTCCACGTGGTTCCCCTTGGAAACCATCGTGAACAATTCTTGTTGAATTCGTCACGATGGGCTAACTGACCTACTTCATCCTCACCTATCATCCTTCACTGGTGCCCCGCCGGTGTATACCGTATTCCATTTTCATCCATGAAAAAAAAACCTAACTGCGGTTGACAACCCTTGCAGCAAGCATGGCAATTAGTGGTAAACCCTTCTTTATGGGAGAGACTTGTGTTCAGTAATGAATAGTTAACGGTCAGCTAATGATGATGATAATGATAAAGCAGTTGCCAGCTTCCGTTCTCAATTTTTTGCTTTACGACATTGTATGGCAAACAAACTAACAGCCCATCTGATGAAAAGTGGCAACCATCGCCTATATGTATATCGCCTCTATATATACATGAATAGTACAATGGGCATCACGAATCGTAATCATATTTTATTTTTCATGCAACTATCGGAGACTTTTTTTTAATTATCTTTATATTAATCTCAATTTCGTGTATATTATAGTATATGTCATATATGTGTAAGTATATTTGTTATTCATATATATTTATTCGTTTATATATGTAATTTTAGTATGTATGTATATCAATAATTACTAGTACCGCATTCAAGTATTCTGACACTTGCCTATGGTTGACTGGGAGAGAATGCTTTTAGCATTAAGTCCGCTATGTATACATATTTGTACTAATGAATAAATAAAAAAAAATATCTCACCTTTTTCTTTTTTTGAGAAGACAAACAAACTTGCTCCCTGACAACATTAAGCATGGGTTCCGATAGGTGGTTAAAGATTTTCACCCAGTGGTTGCCTACCAATGTATAGCGTCGCCAAGACCGGCCCAGGAAACGATGACGTGATGATCTAAACGCATTTTAAAGGAACCGATTAGAGGTGCCACACAACAGGAAGTTTTAAAAGGAGATGGAAAGACTTTTGTACAGCAGTGGCTCGTCATTAGTTAATAATAAAAATAGATAATAGAAGAAATAACATTAAAATGGTACCAATATGGTAGTAAATTTTCATTTGTAAATCTGGTCAGAAAGGGGTTCCCCCTGGAAACCATCGTGGCTAATTCTAGTTGAATTCGTCAGGTTGGGCTAACTGACCTGCTTTCATCCTCATTCCTCAGTCATCTATCACTGGTGCCCCGCCATTATATACTGATAGCGCAGACGGGGTTATCATACCATTATCACGCATTAAAAAAAAAAAACTATTTGTATTTCATGGACGTACAAAATCAGAGGCTTGGCTAATAAAGAATCATTTTATTAAAAGTGACACTCTACAATTTGCTCCCTCAATCCGTATATATACATAACATCTGAACTTCCGATTGCGGTGCAAAGCTTTTAATGTCAAAGGAAATGGGGGACTGAGCCCTTATTCATAAAAACGTCAAACACCTTAATAACCTATAAGTTATTGAAGTGTTACCTTCGAGGCTAATTCTTAATTTAGAAGTAACAAGATACTGTAATAGTTAAAATACAGATTTGTGGGTGGATTCAGTTTAAGTAATATAAAAATGAGCAGGTTATGGACCATGGGACTACACCATGGGATTCTTCATACAAGTTTAAAGAAGTTCCTTCAGGGTCGGCAATGCTCCTGGCATTGCAGGGGTTCATAGGCTACGGTAACCGCTTACAATCAAGTGAGCTGTATGCTTATTTACCACTCCAGTAGTATAAAAAAAGGATCTTAATTCATCTGTAGGGACCATTTCTGAGCAGTTTTTTTTTTTTAACGGGTGAAAATGGTATGGTAACCCCGCCTGCGCTATCAGTATATAATGGCGGGGCACCAGTGATAGATGACTGAGGAATGAGGATGAAAGCAGGTCAGTTAGCCCAACCTGACGAATTCAACTAGAATTAGCCACGATGGTTTCCAGGGGGAACCCCTACGCTGGCGGAGCACCAGTGAAGGGTGATAGATGAGAATGAAAACAGGCCAGTTAGCCCATCATGATGAATTCATCTGGAATTAATCATGATAGTTTCCAAGGGGAACCGCGAGAAGGTCGACCTGGTTGGGTATATTGCTAGCAATGGGATTCTCAGTCTCCATTACTAACAATCCCTTTCCCCCCCCGGATGGCCTATTCTACGCCGGAACCGCACGGGCAAATCTAAATATACACTGTGCATTATTTTCTATTATAACACGACGTGGGCGATAGATCAATAGAATAGAAAACAGTTGCCGAAATGTAATTTACGGATTCAAAGAAACATTCGCCTCTCCATAAAGTATCAATTTGACTGTTACACTGGACTTCGACGCCGAAAGTCTTGTCCAATAGTTGACAGCTGTCAAACGCACCGTGCTATAGCGCGCAGAACAATTGAAGCAAGTTACATAGAAAATAGCCACGTGACGTACATAAGAGAGAGTTATTTTTATATAGTTTTTTTTTTATATTAAACTAAATTTGGATCTGCTACTTAGTAGTAGTAGAAACATTAATGAAAAAAATAACTTCTCTATGACTTCTATCGAGATTTTTTTATGCAATTTAAAACGGCAAACATAGACCGTCGCCTATAGACATGAGCAGTACCATGGACATAACAGAGTATACTGTTTCGCCCATGATACCCCCTATGCGTTACCATTCCTGAGGACTAAGTCGTTTTTTTTTTATTTTAATGGGTGATAATGGAATGGTAACCCTGCCTGCGCTATCGGTGTACACTGGCGGGGCACCAGTGAGGGATGATAAAGCAAGTCAATTAGCTCATCGTGACGAATTCAACAATAAATTAGTCAAGGTGGTTTCCAGGGGAAACCGCGTGGAGGTCGACCTGATAGAGTCTAACCTCCCCATTACTAACAATCCCTTCCCCCAGAGTATACTGTTTCGCCCATGACACCCCCATGCGTTACCATTCCTAAGAACTCAGATGTTATTCCTCTGTACATTGTAAATTCACTACCATATCCCAGACTCCAAACTGAAACACAGCCATGCAAACACAACTACTTCAAGGTAGACTACACTGCGTTTGCCCGTATGGGGTCGCCACTTAAGAATCTTTCTTCCCTATTGGTTGTCCGTTCATCGAGCTATCTGATCAGCCCATTGCCACTTCAGCCTGCTTATCCTTCGAGCTATGTCGGCGACTGCTGATCATACGCCTCCCCTTTTAGGGGGTTTTGCCGGTCTTGTCACCACGGTTGACAGACGGGTTAGTTTGGTGATGTTTTAAGAGAAACGTTGCTGCCGATCCCTCGACCACGAATTTCCCTTAGATTTACACCTACGGGAAAGGAAGGGATGGCCCATGTTATGCATGGACCACACAGCATATTTATTGTATAAAATATCAATTAATAAGGTAATACTATTACTACATTATTACTACATTATTATTACATTATTTATACAAAATTATTTATATTTCAGAGACTCCTCGGCGGGATTGAGTGCTTATAGAGTGTTGGTGCTGGGCGCTCCGGGAGTCGGCAAGTCCAGTCTGGTGGGGCAATTCATGACGTCGGAGTACTTGCACGCGTATGACACTAGTATAGGTGAGAAAACTATATTACATATATATATATATATATATATATCTGTCACGCCTGTCTCCCATTAGGGTAGGCAGAAACAATGGAACCAAAGAAAACTATATTCTTTAATCTATATTTTTACCAGAGGGACACTTTGTACAAAAGTTGTTTGCTTGGGTACCTCTGTCCCATTCATGTTTCAACCGTAAAGCAGTTGTGTTTGCATGGCTGTGTTTCGGTTTGAAAGGTGGGATATAGCATGAATTTACAGGATACAGAGGAATAACACCTAAATCCTCAGGAATTGCAACGCATGGGGGGTATCATGGGCGTAACAATATACTCTGTTATGTCCATAGTACTGCTCATGTCTATAGGCGACGGTTACCACTTTCCATCAGGTGGGCCGTCAGCTTGTTTGCTATTTAAGTTGTATAAAAAAACTGTAAAGGTCGCATGTCTGTACATAGAAAAAAAAAAAACGAATCACGGGGATGTTAGAAGTGGAATAGAACTCATCTAGATTTTTTTTTCAAATTTTTTGTTTCTGTCTGATTGTATTTTTGTACGGGCTAATCTCCGAAACTGTTGGACCGATTTAATTGAATTTTTGCATGATGATACCTTACATCCCCGGTCAATATATACTTGAAAATAAAAGATTTATTATTATTATTTGTATTATGTCTTTAGGTGACGGTTACCACTTCCCATCAGATGGGCCGTCAGCTTGTTTGCCATTCTAAGTTGTATAAAAAAAAATCGCTGTAACCCACACCACTGGGTCAAAAATCTTCACTTAAAAATATATGCTCTTGTGTTCGTTCTATGGTAATTATATCTATATAAGCAGTAGGTACTGTTATTTTAAATTATATTTCTTCATACAAACATTACAATAGATAGAAATGCAAATGTAAAACGTTCGATATGATAGGTACATGTACTAATTGTCGGTCGTGCATATTTTATAAAGGGTCTAATAAATTCATGGCAACTCAGAACTCTGTGAGGTGGCAATATCATTAATTCACAATATTATTACACGAAATCGCTCAGCAATTGTTAATTACATTTGTTTTATAGTGCTATGGTGGCAAACAAGCATACGGTAAACGGAGTTACAGTAGCCTATAGGCTGCAACATCAGGGAATTGGCGACTCTTAAGAAATTTTTATACGCTCTTTTTGAAGGATTACGCGCGTCTCTAGGCTGAGTATGGATTCCCTACTGTTGGCGAGCGGTGCGATGGTGAAAGGTGGATGTAGGCATCTTATAGAAGAGTTCTTCAAAGCATAATTCGTTATACAGGCGTTAAAAAATTACATAAAGGGTTGACAACGTGCACGTGATAATCCTAGTGTTGCAGGCGCCTATAGGCTACAGTGACCGTTTACCATCAGACGGGCTGTATGCTTGTCTGCAAAAAAAGAACATATAGAAAAATATATTGTAATCTATACTTATATAAGATTATGTCTTAAGGAAAACCGACTTCAATTGTGGGAAAACCGGTTATTTTTATTCCAAAACTAAACTAATATACCGATTTATATAACTCTTTATGGCACCAATCTGTAAGTAGATTCTTTCAAATAAAAAAGGAATTTCTGAATCGATTTACAACTGGCGGAAACTCCTTCTTTTTAAAGTCAGTTGATTTTTTTACTCAACTGTGGAAAAATATTTTTTTTATGTAATTTTTTTTATGTACTTGTTCTTGATATTTATAACACGTAGATGTTTTTTTTTGATGGGTGAAAATGGTATGGTAACCCCGCCTGCGCTAACGGGATACGCTGGCGGAGCACCAGTGAAGGGTTATAGATGAGAATGAAAACAGGCCAGTTAGCCCATCATGATGAATTCGTCAAGAATTAACCATGATAGTTTCCAGGGGGAACCGCGAGGAGGTCGACCTGGTTGGGTATATTGCTAGCAATGGGATTCTCAGTCACCATTATTAACAATCCCCTTACCCTCAACACGTAGATGTTAGGTGTGTATATAATAGATAGACTATATTTTTTACATATTTGTATATAATATATATATAAAATTTTGTATATAATCTAACTGATGTGATTTAAAATAACGTTTCCACTATCGAATTATAAAATATTATTATTATATATATATATATATATATATATATATATATATATATATATATATATATATATATATATATATATATATATATAATTTAATTAAAAAAAATCAAATTATAATCTGTACTTATAACGTCGTTTGTCCTGACTAATTATCGCAGAAAGCTAAAATTTAAAACTAAAGTAAAAAATAAAAACAATGTAAAAATAAATTTGTTAGTATTTTACTTTTTAAACTAAGGTTTAGTTTATTCACGTAAGCATTCGCAACGAATTTTTGAAAATTTTTATAAAACGGAACGCGACTAGTTTTTTAAATAAATTTGCCAATGTTTCCTTTATAACTGCTAAGACTGCTCGGTGTCATGTTTCGCTCGACTTGTTTGGACTTTTTTTATGTCTTCATCAGTTGTTATCCAACTCCGAAGTACCACCTTGTATTGGAGGGGAGTTCGCTTTATTTATATTTCCTGCTTTGGTTTTTATTTGATATCTGCAATCAAGAAGTTTTCATCGAACGTAAAATTATACCAATTCGTTTATTTACACCGGAATATTTCCGTCTTATAAATATATCTAATTTAATTTTTTATTTTTAAACAAAGAAGAATTTTATCTGAAAGTCTTTTCTGGAGGACATTTTGCTCTTTGCGACATAACATCCCGCTATATCTAATTTAGATATATGATTTTGAAATTAATTTAATGAAACCAGAATAATATTAAGTTATATAGCCTGTTATTTTTTTATGCAACTTATAATGGTAAACAAGCTGACGGCCCACCTGATGGTAAATGTTACCGTAGCCTATGAACAGCTGCAATACCAGAGGTATTACGCGCGCGTCGCCGACCCTGAAGAAACCCGGATTTGCGATTTGTAGAGCATTAATCGCTGATCCGGCGTGAAGTAATGCTTCGCTCTATTGAGCACATCGAGTTTTTTGGATGCCAGCTTCACCTTATCTTCGAGGTGGCCACGGAATTGTACATCACTAGAGAGATGTCGACACCAAGGATCCCAATATTTCAACTAAAATCACTATATTTTATTTTATTTCATTTCACTAGGTACACATTACAGAGTATTAACAATGTTATGTTAATATATACAGTACAATAATATTTTCTAACGTTACAGACGACGAGTCCGGCGAGAGATCAGTATGTGTTCTGCTAGCTGGCGAAGAGTCCGAAATTACGTTTCTGGACTCGCCGCCGGATCATATCATTGTAAGTATTCTAGTTTACCAACTGTATTCCACGACTTCTCCCGTAGTCGTATCGTGATGGCCTGTACTCGTATTCTGTCATATTTATTTATTAAATACAATAAATTTACAATAGCGAGTACATTGGACCCCGCACTAGGCGAACCTGTATCGCGGGAGTCCATAAAAGGATACCAAGACACGGTGATTTACAAATATAAATTACATTACATTACATTACATTACATTACATTCCATTCCATTCCATTACATTCCATTACATCCCATTCCATCCCACTCCATCCCACTCCATCCCATTCCATCCCATTCCATCCCATTCCATCCCATTCCATCCCACTCCATCCCACTCCATCCCACTCCATCCCACTCCATCCCACTCCACCCACGCCATCCCACGCCACCCCACGCCACCCCATCCCATCCCATCCCATCCCATCCCATCCCATCCCATCCCATCCCATCCCATCCCATCCCATCCCATCCCATCCCATCCCATCCCATCCCATCCCATCCCATCCCATCCCATCCCATCCCATCCCATCCCATCCAATCCCATCCCATCCCATCCCATCCCATCCCATCCCATCCCATCCCATCCCATCCCATCCCATCCCATCCCATCCCATCCCATCCCATCCCATCCCATCCCATCCCATCCCATCCCATCCCATCCCATCCCATCCCATCCCATCCCATCCCATCCCATCCCATCCCATCCCATCCCATCCCATCCCATCCCATCCCATCCCATCCCATCCCATCCCATCCCATCCCATCCCATCCCATCCCATCCCATCCCATCCCATCCCATCCCATCCCAGACCATCCCATGCGATCCGATCCCAGCCCATACCATCCCATCCCATCCCATCACATCCCATCCCATCCCATCCCATCCCATCCCATCCCATCCCATCCCATCCCATCCCATCCCATCCCATCCCATCTCATCTCATTTCATTATATTTCATTACATTACATTACATTGTTCGTTATGAAGATGCCGTGTTAAGAGAGAGAACAAAATTACAATCTAAGTTTGATATTAGCTATGGAAGGTTGTGGAACTTCTGGCAGCAATAGTGGTGGCCAACCTTCAAGTATTGGCAATCACATACATACTAATGCCAGCGGAATTAAACAAAACAATTCAATTCAAATATCCAGTGGAATATGGTTGTTAAATTACAAAGTATAGAGCAAGTTGTCACCGTCGCCTATGCTTGTGTTTGCATGGCTGTGTTGTCTGTGCATTCTATTTAAAGGGTGAGATATGGCTGTGAATTTACAGGGTACAGAGGAATAACACCTGAGTACTCAGGAATGGCAACGCATGCGGGGTATCATGGGCGAAACAGTATACTCTGTTATGTCCATGGTACTGCTCATGTTTATAGGCGACGGTTACAACTTCCCATCTGGTGACCCGCCAGTTTGTTTGCCATTCTAAGTTGCATAAAAAAGAAGTTACCATAGTCGCCTCTTACGACACCCACGAGAAAGGAAGGCATGGCCTGTTCTATAGACATATGAGACACATGGCGAAAGATAAATATCCGTCGTGTCATCCACTAATCCTAATTGATTTTCCTGCCCACTCTTCTTTGTAAATCTCATCTTAATTACCTGTAAAATCTCTTAACGATTACAGTACAGTTTGTCTTGCAAACGATCTATATTCCGTAGAAAGGCTCTTGAGAACGTCTGCATCGAAGCTTATCCAAGTGCCCAATTGTTTGATAATTTCTTACTTACTTACTTAGTTTTTACTGCTACTTATATTTACTTATAGTATGGATAAAAGAATAATGTAGACTTATTTTATAAGCGAGGTAAATATTAGATTATGTGTTTGTTATTTATAAGGTTTAAACTAAAAAAATACTTGACTGTTTTTAAATAGTTTTTCACCTTTAAAAAACCACATTATCGAATGTAAGAACTGGTGTTTTATTTTTAAAAAATGAGCAAAATAGAAGCGGGTCACTGTAATATCATAAATATAAACCTTTCATATGTGGTCCTGGCATAAAATAGACCATCTCTTCATTTTCTGTGAATTTTTGTTTTTTTTTATACAACTTAGAATGGCAAACAAGCTGACGGGTCACCTGATGGGAAGTTGTAACCATCGCCTATAGACATGAGCAGTACCATGGACATAACAGAGTATACTGTTTCGCCCATGATATCCCCCATGCGTTGCCATTCCTGTGGACTCGGGTGTTATTCTTCCGTACCCAGTAAATTCACGCCATATCCCACCCTTCAAACCGAAACACAGTCATGCAAACACAACTGCTTTACGGTTGAAACACGAATGGGTCAGAGGTACCCAAGCAATCGACTTTTGTACAAAGTCTCCCTCTGTAAAGTGTCGTAAAAGGCGACTAAAGGTGCTTAGTAGTAGAGGAGTGGGCAACAGCCTCCTTCTTAAAACATCTCTAAAGTCTAACTGCTGCCGCTGCTACACATAATGGTAGCTTTTACCATTAGATTCCCTTAGTTGCTTTTACGACATCCACGAGAAAGAAAGGGGTGGTCCACTCTATGCCAGGACTTATACAACGAATTTTATATATATTTAGCATTAATAGACATATTTTAAACGATTTTATTTAGCTCGACCTGTACGGTATTTATTTATTTGGGTCAAAATTAGAAATTGGAATTTAAGCACCTTCCCGTTGTCAGATTGATCTGAAATTTGGTACACACATTTAATTTAGATGACAATACAATATAATAAAATCAATAACATTATAAATCTAAGATGGCCGCCGATACAAAATGGCGGATTACATATTTTTCCTTAACCCCCGCAATATGGGTATCAAATGAAAGGGCTACACTAGTAAAACACGACGATTATGTCAAAATTTAAAATTCAAGATGGACGCCGTTCCAATATGGCGGACTAGGTACATATTTTTCCACAACCACCACAATATGGGTATCAAATAATAGGACTACACTGAGACACCCAGACACTAGACACTCGGACACTAGACACTCAGACGCTAGACCCTCAGACACTAGACACTCAGACACTCAGACCCTAGACACACAGACACTAGACACTCGGATACAAGACACTCAGACACTAGACACTCGGACACTAGACACTCAGACACTAGACACTCGACACTCGACACTCGACACTCGACACTCAGACACTAAACACCAGACACAAGACACTCAGATACTCGACACTCAGACACTAGACACTAGACACTCGTCACTAGACACTCGACACTCGGCACTCGACACTCGACACTCGACACTCAGACACTAAACACTAGACACTCAGACACTAGACACTCAGACACTAGACACTCAGACACTAGACACTCAGACACTCGACACTCAGACACTAGACACTCGATACTCGACACTCGACACTCGGATACTAAACACTAGACACTAGACACTCAGACATCCAGACACTAGACACTCAAACACTGGACACTCGGATACAAGACACTCAGACACTAGACTCTCAAACACTTGACACTCAGACACCCAGACACTAGACACTCTGACACTCGACACTCGACACTCAGACACTAAACACCAGACACTAGACACTTAGACACTCGACACTCGACGTCACTCGACACTCGACACTCGACACTCGACATTCGACACTCGACACTCGACACCCGACACTCGACACTTGACACTCGACACTCAGACACTAAACACTAGACACTAGACACTAGACACTCAGACACTCGACACTCAGACACTAGACACTCGACACTCGACACTCGACACTCGACACTCGACACTCAAATACTAAACACTAGACACTAGACACTCCGACACTCGGATATAAGACACTCAGACACTAGACTCTCAGACACTTGACACTCAGACACCCAGACACTAGACACTCAGACACTAGACACTCAGACACTAGACACTCAGACACTAGACACTCTCGACACTCGACACTTGACACTCGACACTCGACACTAGACACTCAGACGCTAGACCCTCAGACACTAGACACTCAGACACTCAGACCTTAGACACACAGACACTAGACACTCGGATACAAGACACTCAGACACTAGACACTCGGACACTAGACACTCAGACACTAGACACTCGACACTCGACACTCGACACCCGACACTCGACACTCGACACTCGACACTCGACACTCAGACACTAAACAGTAGACACTAGACACTAGACACTCAGACACTCGACACTCAGACACTAGACACTCGACACTCGACACTCGACACTCGACACTCAAATACTAAACACTAGACACTAGACACTCCGACACTCGGATATAAGACACACAGACACTAGACTCTCAGACACTTGACACTCAGACACCTAGACACTAGACACTCATACACTAGAGACTCAGACACTAGACAGTCGAAACTCGACACTCGACACTTGACACTCGACACTCGACACTCGACACTTAGACACAAGACACTCGACACTCGACACTTAGACACAAGACACTCAGACACTCGACACTCAGACACTAGACGCTAGACACTCGTCACTAGACACTCGACACTCGACACTCGACACTCGACACTCGACACTCGACACTCGACACTCGACACTCGACACTCGACACTCGACACTCGACACTCGACACTCGACACTCAAATACTAAACACTAGACACTAGACACTCCGATACTCGGATATAAGACACTCAGACACTAGACTCTCAGACACTTGACACTCAGACACCCAGACACTAGACACTCAGACACTAGACACTCGAAACTCGACACTTGACACTCGACACTCGACACTCGACACTCGACACTTAGACACTAGACACTCAGACACCCAGACACTAGACACTCAGACACTAGACACTCGGATACAAGACACTCAGACACTAGACTCTCAGACACTTGACACTCAGACACCCAGACGTTAGACACTCAGACACTAGACACTCGACACTCAACACTCGACACTTGACACTCGACACTCGACACTCGACACTCGACACTCGACACTCGACACTCGACACTCGACACTCGACACTCGACACTCGACACTTAGACACTAGACACTCAGACACCCAGACACTAGACACTCAGACACTAGACCCTCGGATACAAGACACTCAGACACTAGACTCTCAGACACTTGACACTCAGACACCCAGACACTAGACACTCTGACACTAGACACTCGACACTCGACACTCGATACTCGACACTCGACACTCGACACTTGACACTCGACACTCGACACTCGACACTCGACACTCGACACTCGACACTCAGACACTCAGACACTAGACACTCAGACACTCGACACTCGACGTCACTCGACACTCGACACTCGACACTCAAATACTAAACACTAGACACTAGACACTCCGACACTCGGATATAAGACACTCAGACACTAGACTCTCAGACACTTGACACTCAGACACCCAGACACTAGACACTCAGACACTAGACACTCGAAACTCGACACTTGACACTCGACACTCGACACTCGACACTCGACACTCGACACTCGACACTCGACACTCGACACTCGACACTCGACACTTAGACACTAGACACTCAGACACCCAGACACTAGACACTCAGACACTAGACACTCGGATACAAGACACTCAGACACGAGACTCTCAGACACTTGACACTCTGACACCCAGACGTTAGACACTCAGACACTAGACACTCGACACTCGACACTTAGACACTAGACACTCAGACACTCAGACACCCAGACACTAGACACTCTGACACTAGACACTCGACACTCGATACTCGACACTCGACACTCGACACTCGACACTCGACACTCGACACTCAGACACTCAGACACTAGACACTCAGACACTCGACACTCGACGTCACTCGACACTCGACACTCGACACTCAAATACTAAACACTAGACACTAGACACTCCGACACTCGGATATAAGACACTCAGACACTAGACTCTCAGACACTTGACACTCAGACACCCAGACACTAGACACTCAGACACTAGACACTCGAAACTCGACACTTGACACTCGACACTTGACACTCGACACTCGACACTCGACACTCGACACTCGACACTCGACACTCGACACTCGACACTCGACACTTAGACACTAGACACTAGACACTCAGACACCCAGACACTAGACACTCAGACACTAGACACTCGGATACAAGACACTCAGACACTAGACTCTCAGACACTTGACACTCTGACACCCAGACGTTAGACACTCAGACACTAGACACTCGACACTCAACACTCGACACTTGACATTCGACACTCGACACTCGACACTCGACACTTAGACACTAGACACTCAGACACCCAGACACTAGACACTCAGACACTAGACCCTCGGATACAAGACACTCAGACACTAGACTCTCAGACACTTGACACTCAGACACCCAGACACTAGACACTCTGACACTAGACACTCGACACTCGATACTCGACACTCGACACTCGACACTTGACACTCGACACTCGACACTCGACACTCGACACTCAGACACTCGACACTAGACACTCAGACACTCAGACACTCAGACACTCAGACACTCAGACACTAGACACTCAGACACTAGACACTCAGACACTAGACACTCAGACACTAGACACTAGACACTAGACACTCGACACTCGACACTCGACAGTCGACACTCGACACTCGACACTCAGACACTAAACACTAGACACTAGACACTAGACACTAGACACTCAGACACTCGACACTCAGACACTAGACACTCGACACTCGACACTCAGATACTAAACACTAGACACTAAACACTCAGACACCCAGACACTAGACACTCAGACACTGGACACTCGGATACAAGACACTCAGACACTAGACTCTCAGACACTTGACACTCAGACACCTTTTTGGCCTCAGTTCCGTCGAACCCAAATGTACGAAACAGATATATCATCAGTTTTAATTGACTTTGGCACAGACGGCATGCACGTTATTTACCCTAAAGCCATACAGTTTCCAGCAAAATTCAATTATGGTACGGCTGAAAAAAGGATGTTGCCCTTAGTTTTGTCATGAGCATTCACCGTCCATAAAATGCAGGGCAGCACCGTCGACCATGCAGTACTATATTTGGGCTCAAAATGGTTTGAGGAAGGACAAGCATACGTGGCTCTAAGTCGAGTCAAGTTTCTGGAAGGGCTATGTATTGAGGAATTAGATTGTACTAAATTATCAGGTAAGAAACCATGTAATAATGATGCACTGAATGAATTAAATAAAATGAGGAATATTCGGTAAACAATTTCACTAAATACTAAAAACAAGAAAATAAAAATCGGTAAAAAAACTTTTAAGTTAAACGGTTTTATTTTATGTGCACTGAAAACTACAAAATAAATAAATAGTTACTTACCTATCAACCTACGTAGGTGATCTCGGTCATTAATATCTCTGATAGTAGTGGTTGTCATAACATGAACCATGTCAGCGGCCGAAAGGCAGTTCATGAGAGAACACTAACACCAGGGTTTGCTTGGTAGGTAAACTAAGCAGCCCGCACTATAACAAGTAGGTATTTTGACCTTCTAGTTCAGAAATATTTTAGTACTAGGCAGAATAGCTTTTAGGCATATTAGACTAAAATAAAAACGTGGGGCCCATTAACTATTTCTGTATTACTTTCTACTATACTAAGTGTGGATTGCATCGACTTATTATAATCGTCATCATCATCATCCTAGCGGTTTATCCCGGTCGCATCCGAAACCTCATAGCTCCGGAGTCCAGGGTCCGCTGAATCGACTTACTATAATCGTAACTGGAGGTTTTGACCATCAATAACCAGCCGTTACGGCTTCACCAGCGAACGCCGAGCTCATGATCTACCAAAGTATAAGATATGCTCTGCTATAGGTATGATTTCAGAGGGGCCCCACGTTTTTATTTTAGTCTAATATGCCTAAAAGCTATTCTGCCTAGTACTAAAATATTTCTGAACTAGAAGGTCAAAATACCTACTTGTTATAGTGCGGGCTGCTTAGTTTACCTACCAAGCAAACCCTGGTGTTAGTGTTCTCTCATGAACTGCCTTTCGGCCGCTGACATGGTTCATGTTATGACAACCACTACCATCAGAGATATTAATGACCGAGATCACCTACGTAGGTTGATAGGTAAGTAACTATTTATTTATTTTGTAGTTTTCAGTGCACATAAAATAAAACCGTTTAACTTAAAAGTTTTTTTACCGATTTTTATTTATAATACTTTTGGGTTATAAAAGTGTCATTTTTAGACATAATTATTTTTTTTTTAATAATATATAGACATATAATTATATAGACAGAGCATCGAGCCTCAAAAACGGGTCAACTTTTTGTCAGCTAATTGTCAAATTAGCTGACTCGTTTTTTTATCAGTATTTCATATTTATTAAATAATACGTCAACATACATTTTATGTGTAAATATAAAATGTATGTTGACGTATTATTTAATAAATAAAATTAGTGTTTAAGCATTAAAAAGATGTAGAATTTCTAAGACAAAATAAATATGCTTAGAAGTTATAAAGGAATCACTCATAACTATTTATCACGCAAAATTGTATGGAAACGTTGGCGCGCCTTTCTCGGAGTATTTCTATGGGGACACTATCTATATAATCTGAGGTTACTTGTTGATAATGTAGCTTTTTAAAGGTGAAAAAATTTTTAAAATCGCTTGAAGAGTTTTTAACAACTACTACAAACAAATAAACAAACAAGAAATCAAATTTCCTCTTTATAATGGTAACATATATTAAATTGTTGAGTTTCGCCTTCCAGTCCGAAGGCTGCGCCCACGGTTACTGCGTGGTGTATTCTACAGCCGACCGCAGCAGCTTCGCTGAAGCGGAGCGCAGGCTGCAAGCGTTGTGGGCGGCGGGGCACACCTCCCGCCGCGCCGTCATCCTAGTTGGCAACAAGGCTGACTTGGCCAGGTCCAGGGCGGTTCCTACTGATGGTAAGTGATTATGATTATTATATTAACTAGCTTATGCCCGCGACTTTGTACGCGTGGTATTTGTTATTCCTGCTTAGTATGTATCGATGTATGTACTTACCTATTTATTATGTCTGGTTATTACCAAACTTAATAAATGACATGTCGTTCTCACTCTTTGCCTTTGGTCAAAATGACTTTACTTAAGTAGGTTGTGTACTAAGCTGTATAAGTTACTATAGTTTTTTAACTATCTCACGGAACTCTTTAATTTTCTGTGATTAAAAGTAAATCTAAAATGTTGACCAGACATGTAAGGTGCACCATGCAAAACTTCATTTAAATCGGTCTAACAGTTTCGGAGATTATCTCGTACAAACAAACAAACAGAGAAACAAAAATTTTGAAAAAAATTAGATGTATTCTATTCCACTTCTGACATCCCCCTGACTCGGTTTTTAGCTTTTTTCTATGTACAGACATTTGAACTTTACAGCTTATTTGCCATACATATGTATATATATGTATATATATATGGCTGATGGCCCACCTGATAGAAAGCAGTAACCGTCACCTATAGTAATGAGAAGTACCATGTACATAACAGAGTATACTGTTTCACCCATGACACCCCATGGGCGGTAAATACCTTAATACTTAATACCTTATAACACCATAACAGTTTCATCAATCACTATAAAATTTGGTATACCTATACACGTATTATATGAAAGTAGATAGAAAGAGATGAATAAAGATATAGTCTTATTTTTATCTCGCTCAGAAACACACCAAAGTCACTCGAACCAAGTCGTAGGTAAAAGCTAGTATTTAATAGTGTGTGGTATATATTCTGTACCGTGGTAACGTGTTACCATTTCATTTACCATCTATTAAAATTTAAAGATATTGTTGTTCCTACGAATGTAGGTACATGACACTTCGTGTATGTTAGTTGAATAGCCCACATGAAGGTGAATATTTTAAATTACATGTTAAAGCGAGTTAATTAAACCGACTCTCGAACTAATTAACGTTATTAACCATGTTATATATCAAAGTAAATTTAGACTAAATTACTGTTCACCTAATTGGAAGACGTCTTTTTCTAATTGACAATCCCTTCCTAACTTGACGTTTATCTTTAACAATCCTTGATATTTCATTACGATTTGCCTTGGTTTTTCCAATAACAAGTCTCATTTGTATGATTTATTTGCATTTACAAAATAAATTTTACGTCTTCAAAACTTTCAATGAGCGCCTTTACAAAATCTATTAGCAAAGTTGTTTCTCAGCATAATGTAGCTCAAACAAAACTTTTAGGCTTTCAAAGCTAATTTTCATTTAAACTAGTGTTTTCAGCTGTATAATCTGCAATATTGGATTTAATGGCGGAGAGCAATTTTAATGTTTAAGGTTTAACCACAGGGTTATTGGATCACAGATTTTATTATACACAACAATTTAATTTATTCTTAAATAATACATTTTCTATTCAGTAATTGAATATTAAATATGGCTAAAGGATTTCTAAATATAATCTATGAAATTCTGGAATAAAATGCTTTATGAATATTTAAAATTGACATTTAAAAAGTTATACATTTAATTGCTGAAACTTTTTATAATTTCACTAGTATTTGATCGAAACATATTGCAATTACGAACTCGATATACTTGATATATTATAAATATAAAACATAAAGCAAATACAAATGTGTAATTCGATTCACTCGAAATATTATAATTGTAATAGTTAGTTTCCACTAACTGGTCCCAAAGTGAAAATTTTATTAAGTCAGAGGAAGTTATTACAAGAAAAATGTAGGTAATCTTTAAATCTTTGTTTACTGTTATATCAAACGTTTACTTAATTAAGTACATAACATCACTGGGATTAGGTAAAAATAACAAATCTCATGTTCTAACTAGGTAGTATATTTAAATACATTTTACTAAACTGTACTTATCATTAAAATCTTAAGTTATAATAAATAAATAGGTATGAGTTTAGTTAATAACATGTAAATTGTATTTTGCTTGGACAGAAATATAGAAAATAATACATTAAATTTTTTATATATTCTGTCTTTACTAACTTGTGTATTTATACAATTGAAATTATTATTACGAGAAGATAAGTGGCAATATTTAATAATAACTCCTGATGGAATTAACTGAGCAATAATTTGCTTAAATCAAATTTTGCTTATATACGTTGTCAGGAATTCTAATTAGTTTGATTATTTGAATTCTCATGTATTACACAAACATTATTTTGCTTTTCAGTATATAATTGGACGCAAGTAACCTTTAATTTAACTTTTAATTAGCGCATTTCCACTGAGATATCGAATTTAATGAGAAAATTCCACTACCTACCCACGAATTGGGTGAAATAACTTATGCCTTTTAGCAACGAGACTTTAATTTTAATTCAAAAGGGTTTATAGATGTTCAAGGTAAATAAGCGATGAATTTAAAATTAGAATAATAAAAGGTATTGATTAACGGTCGTCAATTAGATACGTATGATCTAGAAAGCCTCTTTCTATAAAATCTACATTTATATAATCTCGAAATAAACGTATTAAAAAAAAATCATTTATTATAATTATTTATTAGCATTTAACTCTCCACTGCTGAATATATGCCTTCTCAATAAGGAGAGTGTTGCCAGTAGTTGCCATGATTGGCAAACGGTTTGGCAGTTGCAATTAGGGTTTTGTGATGTTTAAAAGAGACTTTGCTGCTCATCCCTCGACCATTAGGCTCCCTTAGTCGCCTCTTACTATAACCACGGGAAAAGAAGTGGTGGCCTATTCTATACCAGGAGTACATAGCGTATAAATAAATATAGAAAAGAGATTATTTGGCGACCAGAAAGAAAAAAACAAAATTAAAAGTAATTCGTAGTCGATTCACCATAAAAGCAGATTCTCTCAGCGCAATAATAGGGTCATTGCACTCAATATCTTACTAATGTAATAAAATTGTAAATAAACGATATCTGTATATGGAAAGTATTTAAAAAAAAATTTGCCATCACACAATTTTTTCTTGAAAATGTCTGTCTATCTTACTACTTGTCTGTATTCGTTCCGGCAACAAATACTGCGTCAAATTGGTTACGATTTTCACAGTTCAGTTTTTTTTTTTAATATTATTGAAGTGACAAACAAGCATACGACCATCTTGATGGTAAACGGTTACTGCAGCCTAAAAGCTAACTTAAATGCTGGTGTACGGGGGGAAGGGATTGTTAGTAATGGGGATGTTAGTCCCCATTGCTATCAATATACCCTATTATATACCTATATATATTTACAGTGTACAGAGGAATAACATTTGAGTCCACAGGAATGGTAACGCATGGGGGTATCATGGGCGAAACAGTATACTCTGGGGGAAGGGATTGTTAGTAATGAGGAGGTTAGACTCTATCAGGTTGACCTCCACGCGGATTCCCCTGGAAACTGTTGCAACTCGACAACTATCGTTGAATTCGTCACGATGGGCTAACCGACCTATCTTTTCATCCTCATCTATCACCTATCACTGGTGCCCCGCCAGTGATAGGTGATAGCGCAGGCGGGCTTACCACTCCATTATCATCTATTAAAAAAATAACCAGTGTAGGTTTTATCTTGCTACGCCATTTAGAAATGATACATTTCATTAGATTTCCTATTTCTGGAATCCATTGCTTAAAAAGTAGCTGACAGAAATCTAGTTTGTATTTGAACTAGGGCACCAGTGAAGGGATGATTGATAAGGATGCAAACGCAGGTCAGTTAGCCCATCGTGACGAATTCAGTAGTAAATTGGTCACGATGGTTTCCAGGGGGAACCGCGTGGCTGTCGACCTGATAGGGTATATTAATAGCAATGGGGACTAACATCCCCATTACTAACAATCCCTTCCTCCCCAAACTGTAGAGCACAATCCTATATCTTTTATCTTACGGCTGTCTCTTCACCACATTTTACAACAATTTCAGAGGGGAAAAGCTTGGCGACATCTTACGAATGCAAGTTTATAGAGACATCTGTGGGAATCAACCACAACGTGGACGAGCTGCTGGTGGGGCTCCTCACGCAGATCAGGCTGAAGCAGCAGCACGCCGAGAGAGTCAGGTTGGTGTTGGAGTCTATCTATCCTATACTATTTAAGAGCTGTGCTCTTGTCGATGGAGATCTTGCCAATCACTACGATTTTCAGCGGTGTTGAAGTCATCATCATTGTTCATGATCAATCACCTTTATTGTTCCCTTCAAGGAGTGATATAGATTTAAAGGGTTCACAGTATGCACACAAATAAAATTAATACTTCATTATATAAAACCACAAGATAAAGAGACGACAATTGGCGGCCTTATCGCTAAATAGCGATCTCTTTTAAGCAACCTTAGAATGGAGAGGAGTAATTAAAACTGTGTCTGGTAAACGTCATAAGGAAATAATAAGACTGAAAAAGGAAGAAAAAAGGCTAGAGGTAAATTTAAACGAAGTATAATAAAAAATATAAATAAAAAATACATACTTACACATAATAATAATATAATCATAATTTGGAGAGGATGGATGAAAGAAGAATTACGAAAGAGATTTATCGAACAATAATGAATGGAGATGTCGGTAGGGGCCGACCTAGACGGACGTATGTCGACCAAATAGGCGACGTGCTGAAGAAGGCCCAAATTAAAAGTACCCGTAACCGGTGAGCGTGTATGAAAAGATTGATGAATATGGAGGAAGCGAAAGAGGTTTGTCTGAATCCAAGCATTTGTCGTTCCATTGTTTCTGCCTACACTGATGGGAGACAGGCGTGACAGATATGTATGTATGTATGTAAATATAGCTTCTCTTAAACAGAATTATCGACTAATGTAATAGTACATAACACACAATCTGCCCACATTTAGCTGAAGATTCTTTAATATATGACTAGAGAGGGGAAAGGGATTGTTAGCAATGGAGTTTGACAGCCCCATTGCTAACAATATGCTCTATTAGGTCGACCTCCACGTGGCTCCCCCTGGAAACCATCGTGAACAATTCTTGTTGAATTCGTCACGATGGGCCAACTGACCTGCTCCATCCTCACCTATCATCCTTCACTGGTGCCCCGCCAGCGTATCCCGATTGCGCAGGCGGTGTTACCATTCCATTATCACCCATTAAAAAAAAAATATGACTAGATATGTATATCTCGTGGTTTCACCCGTGTGATTGAGTATATACAGTATCCTATGTGCTAATTTGGAATATAACCTATCCGTGCACCAAATTATATTCAAATCTGTCCAGTAGTTTTTGGGTAAAAAGAGTAATAATATCCAAACATCCGTCGTTACTATACCATACTATCGTATATAAAATATAAAATAGGATAGTGGAATGATAAACTCGCCTGCGCTATCGATTTACGTTGGCGGGGCACCAGTGACGGATGATAGGTGAAGACGATAGCTGGTCTTAGTGGATGATAATGGAATGGTAACCCCGCCTGAGCTATAGGTTTACGCTGGTAGGGTATCAATGAGAGGTGATAGGTTTTTTTTTTATTCAACTTAGAATGGCAAACAAGCTGACGGGCCGCCTGATGGAAAGTGGTAACCATCGCCTATAAACATAAGCAGTACCATGGACATAACAGAGTATACTGTTTCGCCCATGATACCCCCATGCATTGCCATTCCTCCGTACCCAGTAAATTCACGCCATATCCCACGCTTCAAACCGAAACACAGCCATGCAAACACAACTGCTTTACGATTGAAACACGAATGGAACAGAGGTACCCAAGCAATCGACTTTTGTACAAATTCTCCCTCTGGTAAGGTGAGGATGAAAAGATAGATTAGTTGGCCTATCATGATGAATTCGCTGGGAACTAACCGCAATGATTTCCAGGGGAGATAGCGTAAAGTTTAACTTAACAAAGCAAATTATTTTCACTGAGTCTTATGTCCATTTTAAAATGGAATTTCTAGAAAACGCAGCGGTTCACGCAAGAACCGGAGTCGCACCAGGTCGCCCATGGATACGGAGACGCCCGCGGCGCCAGCTCCGCCGCCCACGTCCGCGTCTGCGGCCAGCACTCCCAGAAAGAGGACCAGGCTGTCAGCCAGTGTTAAGGTATGCAGTAAAAGTATCTATTCCATATATCATACTATTAATCCACCCCGGCTTCGTACGGGTACATAGATAGAAAGATAAATTAACTCATGTGGCCGTGTGGTCCCGGCATAGAATACACCACTACTTCCTTTCTCGTGGGTCTCGTAAGAGGCGGCTAAGGGAGGGCGAGGGATGGGCAGCAGCTTCCCTTTTAAAACATCTCTAAAAGCCTAACTGCGGTTGCCATCCGCTTGCCAAGCGTGGCAACTACTGGCAAAACTACCCTTATGGGGAAGGCGTATGTCCAGCAGTGGACAGTTAACGGCTGAAATAATAATACTAAAAAATAAATAAAAAAGTGTGTGAAAAGATTGATGAACGTGGAAGAAGCGAAAGAGGTTTGTTTGTATCGAAGCATTTGGCGTTCCATTGTTTCTGCCTACCCTAATGGGAGACAGGCGTGACAGATATGTATGTATGTATGTAAAATAAATAAAAATATATTGTTGTTACTGTTCAGGTCCGTGGCTTGCTAGGCCGCGTTTGGGCGAGAGATTCCAAGTCGAAATCGTGTGAAAACCTCCACGTGCTCTAGCACTCGGCCGCCGAGCCCGTCGCCTGCTTCCCATTCTTCGATTGCGCCGCTGATTACACATAAACCGACCTCACCGGCATTGGGATAAGGTCTAAAATGAACCTGGAGAGTGAAAATCTAACTCACAATCAAATATATTTTACTAACTTTTACCCGCGTCTTTGCGTGGCCAGGATATGTTGGACTATGATGATAATTATCTTATGTCCCTCTCCATCCCATACAATATCAGTGTACCAAATTGCATAGCGATTGGTTAAGCCGTTAAGGTGCTAAGTGGCAACGAATAAATTCATTTTTCACATTTATAATATTAGTAAACAAATGTTTTTTTTTTTTTTTTTAAGAATCCGTTTTGAAAAAAAAAAGTTTAAATTGAGAAAAGAAAAAAAAGTATTATTTTCTCCTTAGCTTTGTCCTAGAACAGCTATGATCTCTCTACCAGGTTTGTATTAGACTAAGTCGATATATTTGACGACAAAACAACGCTTACCTCTAATAGATTTTTTTTTACATTTAAGAAATATAAGTAACTGAAACGCGAATAGCGTTTCAGTAATAAATTATTAATAAGTAAATTATTAAAAAAAATAGAAATAATACCATATAACAACTAAGAAGCATCAATTATAAAAATATAATAATAAGGAATAACACCTGAGTCCTCAGGAATGGCAACGTATAGAGGGTATCATGGGCGAAACAGTATACTCTGTTATGTCCATTGTACTGCTCATGTCTATAGGCGACGGTTACCACTTTCCATCAGGTGGGCCGTCAGCTTGTTTGCCATTCTAAGTTGCATAAAAAAAGAAATAAAGAAAATAAATACCTGTAGTACCTACAGTTGAGATTAGAGCAAGCTTGGAAAGATAAATGTTGTACTAAGAAATGAAAGAAATTTTATTAAAAAAAAATCGTGATTGTTATACTTTTACTTGTACTACATAATTTTTTTCTTAATCAGTTTCAACTTATGGCATTATAAAAGTGTTTTGTTATAATGCTATTGTGTCAGTACATTCAATAAATTTTACTATATATGTAAGTAGTTGTTTTTATGTAACGTAAAATGTAATATTTTTTACACGTTGGAAACATACTATTTCTAATGTGTAAATCTCTGCAAAATAATTCGTTGTTTTGTTATCATATATTATCGACAGGCAGATACATATATATGCCTATTACATGAACAATACACACATCAGACGATATTTGTGATAAAGTCATTATAAAATAATAATAACAGTTATATCATACACAGATTCTTTGCTTGCTGTAATAATATATTTGTTGGTATTTTTTGTAACTAAAACAATTCTATTAACTGCGTAGACCTCTATTTCTAAGAATTTAAAATAAATAGAAATTAAATTATAGATAGATAGATAGATACTCTTTATTGTTTCCTCCAAAAGTTTACAATAGTAAACTTATTATAAATATAAACAATTACAAGAAATAATCACATATACAAATAATTATAACACACATATACAAAATAATATTCACAAGTAAATCTACATAGAGGTCTATGTAAAAGTCGTTTTTGGCAATCTTTTTTATCATTTAATTATCAATTTTTGTACCTATTGTGACAGCTATAGCTGAAGCATAAAATATATATTTTATATCATTCATTTAATATATTCTGCTTACTAGTGTTAAAGTTGGGAAGTACGACGGCTCGGTATATAAACTTAAGTATAAATAAAAAGAGTTTACTTCAGAAAAATGAATGTTGATAAGTTTAAAATGTCAAAATAGAACAGGTCAGAAGTTTTATGTAATGAAGGAAAATTGATTGAGCATTTACACAGTAATATTGATATCTAATATTTACTTCAAACGTTTCAAATATTATTTCTAATAATTTTTTTAATGCAGTTTAATGAAGGAAAAATTTAAAAAAAAAAGCTACTATTAATATTTTGTCTATGCTATGCATACATGATTTATTTCATTATATATTTAGCTATCAATATTAGTTTAGAATAAAGGCAGCAATGATATCTTGACGAATATTGTTTCAGTAATGTACATTCAAAGTTAATTATGTAGGAGGTACGAAAAAAGCTTGCCAAATTATAAGTATGTTTTTATAGAAAATATAATAGCCAGTATGATAGAAAGTAATCAAAGCTAAAGATTTTTAAATAAGATTTGCACATATGTAGTTTTCATCACCTGCTTCATAAATGATCTGCCATGAAAACCACAAAATGAATATAATGCCAACAGAATTTATATCTACAAACTACCAACATCGACTACATTTGATGATGTTTAGTTATAAATAAGTATTTGTCAAGTTATCGTTGTTTGAAGGTATGCTTGTATTAAGAAAGTATTGATACCGTAAAGTGCAACATTGTAGAAAGAATTTTAGATGGTTTGAAAGATTCTATAGATACTGAGTATTATATTGTATAACGGATGGATAGCATAACAATTATATATGTGATCCTAGTGTGTCTCCCTTACGGTAATATTAGTATTTAGTAGTTATTTAAACTAAATTTTGTATAATGTAACGATTCGTGTATTTTGATTCATGTTAGATTGTAGGTTATATAGTTATAATGGTTTTTGTATAACAACAATTATAAATGGAGTAAAGGAGATAATTTTGACTACGCTAAATGTATTTAAATCTTATTTGAAAGTCGTATTGAATGTAATTTTATTTTGTTTTGTCAAGTAGGCATCTATTAACTATTTCGTTCACTAGTTCATTGTTGGGTGCATTTTACCAGGTTTGGTCCTCAGTTTACATATAGGTTGTTTCTAGCTGCCTTTTTGATATTATTAGTCCATCTAAAAGGAGAACGGTCAATGCTGCGTTTATACGCGGTCTTTAATTTTGCTCCCCATACTGACTTAACAAATGTGGTCGGTCTATAATCTTGTCAGCTAACAAATGTTGAGACATTTGTTAACTATTTTAGCTCTCAATAGAATTTCCTCGTTCCGAGTCATGTATCATAGAGAAATTTCAAGAACAGCACTTTCTATCGTTCGTTGTGCATTCTTAAATATGTGAACCAGCTTTACAGTTAGAGACCATATCTCTATATCATAAGTCAATACTAACTAAAGATTTTTGTCCTTAAGCATTGACGAATTTATATAGTGGACATGTGAAAGAGTTTTCTAATGGTCTTGTCCTCCTGAATACTTCTATCAATTTCTTCTTTGTCCTTTAAGTTAAGTGGCATAATCTGTTGAGGGCATAAATAATCTTTAACTGCCTCAGTTGCTGTGTTCCTGGCGAACTTAGAGTACCGAAGTCATACAATTTTTACATTACATTTTAATTATTTGTCCAAGTTCCTACTTTCGCACATTCTAAAGCTTTTTTTCAAGAGATTCGAAATCATATAGTATTCAACTCAGACTTTGCAATGCGGCCATTATGACTGCATTATTAATATAACGAAGGTATAAAATGTACTCGCTATTGTCATTGTCATACGTCATTTAATATTCCATTTTGGAGTGTTTTCTATTACATGTATTATATATGTATTATGTAATACATCAGAGTAGAATACATTTTTTTATTAGTACTCTGGATGAATGGCTCCGTATTGATGTCTTTTTTGCTATTTAATATATTGTAATACATTTGTACATAATGTATAAATATTTTTATTTTAATTACGTGTAAATTTATTTAAACGAAATGATGATAATTAATAGCTGAAATAATAATGATTTAAAAAATATAATATCTTTTTGTATTATTTCGTTTTATAAATTATTTTATATATTTCATATCAATAAATTAATTATATATAAGGATAAGATGTATTTATAAATAAATCAGACATTATAGTGATCGAATGCAGTATTGTAATATATTTATAAATGATTTTAGAATTTAAAATGTATCTTCCACTTCAAATAGTGTAATAATTTTATTTTTTATTAATTCCTTCGACAGCAACGCAGTCGAAATAATAATAAAAAATATCATTTGTTTTAGATATTTTGTCTGAACTTTAAAGAAACTAATCTTTTTGTTCCTTGAATATCGTTTTCATATTTAATAGATACAATTTTTATTTGCTTTGTATAATTTTCCTTGTAGGTATAATTACTGTATTTCTTCAATGACATAAGTATTATAATACCTGTCATAAAATACTTATATTATAATATAATTGGGTCCACAGCTTAAAAATTTGGAACGAATTAGATGTAGTGATTATTTTGCAAAAAAGAGATATAGATATGAAATTAGCGTAGAAAAGACGAGATAGTCAGCTAATATAGAGAAATTTATAAATTGGCAGCTAACATGGCTATTATATATCAGAAAGTTAACTAAGGTAATCATTTTCTCAGATTTTGGTTATGGTATTTTTAACATTAGCAAAAATGGAGAATAACGATCAACATTGAAGCAGTTATCAGTATTCTAATTACTTACAGTATAAAATAAAATACCAAAGCTTAAAGGAATGATAAAATATTATATCATTCTCTCGATGACTAAAGAAAACGTATCTGCCAAAAGATTGATCTACTAACAAATAAATAACGTGTAAACCAGGCCACACTGCTATAGCTGTACATTACAAATATCAATGTATATTATAAGTCATATATTTCAAATTGAAAATAAAACAATCCATCCAAAGATACAATGCCATAAATACAAAACGTTCCTCAAACACTTATGTAGTGATAGTATTCATTTTAGTGACCCGTATGATATTCAGTTACTTTAAAAGTACTGCCTTTAGACCTGTAAGTGTTGGTTTAAATAACAATTATTTGAATTTGAGTGCCTGATATTCAAAGGAAATGATTATTTAGTCCCTCCGTGAGACCCATTTGCCTTATTTTATTAGTGTTATTAATTATGATATTATAATTTCTTAGCCAATTCGATGATAGACGCTAGATCATTTACATTATAGTCATTATATTAGTGTTACATCTGAATTACTAGTCGATAAATGTGAGCTAAGTGTAGCATCTTCTTTATTCGATGTTAAAATAGTGAACTAGTGTTCAGGTTTTTTGGTTAGTAATTTTAAAATATGTATATGAACATATGCATTATGATTGCAATTAAAGAAAATATATATAAATAAAACATCCTTTCTTTCATGTTTTTTTTTTTTTTGGATTTTGAGTAAATATTATATATTAATTAAAATTTTGTATCTATATTATAATATAATATTTAAAGTTGGAACCAAATTACCTGCGACACTGGTTTTATTAAAAAAAAAAATTGATAAAATAAACGAATAGATAGAAAGTTTTGAAAGCTTCTTAGAGGCTTTTATTTATAAAGGTAATTTACGATGTATTTAATAAATCCCAGGGTCCAAATACGAAACACCAATCTCAACTCCTAATCTTGGACTATCCTGGACCATCCTTACCTAGCTTCACCCATCAGCAGTAGAGCTTAGTCACCAGTAGTGAGCTTAACGTTAAGATTTTTATACGATCGACTTTTGTTATTCAGTCTAAAGATTTTGCTTAAAATAGTATCAAATGCTAAAGAAAATAAAATTTCTGTAAAAAAATTATATTTGATACAGAGGTGGTGCAAGCAACGTCAGGGAAACGACAATAATGGTACAGTGAGTCTTAAGTAACTACTCGTTATTTTATAACTATTTCTCTCAGTTACAGGATTTTTGAGAAATAATTTGAAAGATTCTAAATCTACTGCTGTATTTCAAACCATTCTTCTACTGGGCCAAAATTCTGCTATTTAAAAACCTAATATAAAATTGCAAAAGATAATCGACAGACAACAAACAGTGGTGACGTCATTTGACAGATTTTATACGAATTATGTTAGTTACATAGTAATTTTACAAATTTTATGTACATAAAGCAAATTATACATTTGATGTGCCAGATATTAAT